GTATCCTTTTGTTTGTTTTCATGTTTTATTATATTTTGACTTTACCTTCTATTTTATTTCATTTATATTTTAGTATTCTATTTTAGGTTTTATTTTACTTATTTTGCTTTTTTATTATTTTTATTTTAATATTTCATTTTATTTTATTGCATATTTTATTATATTTGACTACCTTTTATTCTATTTTTTGTTTATATTTTAGTATTTTACTTTGTTTTTATTTAAGTTTTGTTTTATTTTATTTTTTACTTTTTTCTTATTTTTATTTTTTTGTTGCATTTTATTTTATTGCATTTTAATCTTGTATCATTTTTTTATTTCATATTTTATTATATTTGACTTTACCTTTTATTTTATTTTGTTTATATTTTAGTATTTTACTTTATGTTTTTATTTTATGTTTTGGTTTATTTTATTTTTTTACTAATAAAAATAAGAAAAATTTTTATTTTATTATTGCATTTTATTGCACTTTAATCTTGTATCATTTTGTTTTATTTCATATTTTATTATTTTATTCTATTTTATCTTTTATTCTATTTTACTTTACTTTATGCTTTAGTATTTCATATTTTGTTTTATTTTACAATTTTATTATTTTTATTTGCCTTTCTTATTTCATTTCATTATATTATTTTACATGTTATTTTTTATATTTTCTTTGGTATTATTTTATAATTTGATTTTTTATGTTATTTTATATAGTCTATATTTTATTTTATATTTTTATTTGATTCTTTTATATTTTTATTTTATTTTACTTTTTTATTTTGTATTATTTTATTTTCATTTTATTTTCATTTTATTATATTTTATCATTTTATTTTATCTTTTATTATCCTTTGTTATATTTTATTTTATTGTATTATTTTATTTTATTATTATCAAATGTATATGCGGTATCCAAGTTTCTGTTTCTAATGTCCCCTCATCTTTCTGGGACATCCAACTGGCTGACTTTGGGCCAATCACCAGGAGACGGGCAGTTCTAGTCCTGCCTTAGACATTCTGTGTCCATGGGTTCCATGTGATCCCCAAGCAAAGTCAATGGGGAAGGCAGATTCGCTGAACGGCCATGCAGCAAGCTTGAAAAACTTGCCACGATTGTGGCAAGAAAGGTCGTAAAACAGGGCAAAACTCACTGAAGCAATATCACGGCAAAGCATCCGAATTCTGGCCCGGGTTGCCGTCATAAATAGAGGACCATCTGTCCCCCTGACACGGATATCTTTTTGCACCTTTCCCTTCCCTGCAGGAGGCATGGTTTAAATCCAAGAGGTTCTTTTGCGGTCGCAAAATGGAGAGTAAGAGAAGCGTAGGTTAAGCAGAACCCAACCTCTTCTGAGACCTGTCCGGCGGAACCGAAATGGACTTCCGGAGCGAGAAAAGCGATGATTTGGACCACAATGGCAAGATCACCGTCCAGCTGCTAAAAAGCCGGACGGGAGAATTCGATCTCGAGTCCATCCTGCTGTTGAAACTAAGAGGTCTGGGGATTTTGGAACTGGGCTGCCTCGGCGAGTGCGCCAGCTTGGAGTGGCTCGACCTGTCGGGCAATGGCCTGACCCACCTGGGCCCCCTCGCCGCGCTCAAAGCCTTGACTGTGCTCAATGTCGCCGCCAACCGTATCTCAAACCTGGAACCGCTGAGTGGCTGTGAGAGCCTGCAGAGTCTCAACGCATCCGGCAACCAGCTGCGTAACCCGCAACAGCTGCAGTGCCTGACCGGGTTGCGGCATTTGGAAAACGTGCGCTTCCACAACGGCCCAGCCCGGCTCAGCAACCCCTTCTGCGCCACCCCTGGCTACCCGGCCGTCCTGGCGGAAATGTTTCCGCGGGTGAAAGTGATTGACGGTGAGCGGGTGTCCGGGCGGGGTAGTGAGCTCTACCAGCTCTGCAAGGATCTGGACTGCTCGCTGCAGCGTTGCAACAACAGTGGCGGTCTCAGCGAGATGGCCAGCCGGGCTCAGCCCTGGGTGGAAGAGGGCTACTGGGAGGTCCAACCAGCCAGGAGAAGCTCCATCATGGAGGAGGCCTACAAGCAGTTCAGTGAGGCTTTGCTGGAGTGCCGGGAGTTGAGCAAGCAGGCTGACCACAGCATCAACCAGGCTGAGCGGGCGCTCGGCGGGCGTCCCGATGCCAACTCATATGTTTTTTGAGGCTGCTGGCTGCCAAGCGTCAGATGCGCTAGTGGAGGGTTCTACGGATGACTGCCGATGGCCAACTCACCATAGCCAACTCACCACAACCAACTTGCCATGGTCAACTCTCTATGGCCAACTAGCCATGGCCAAATCTCCCCAACCAACTCATCACAACCAACTTAACACAACTAACTTGTCAGGACCAACTCGTTATGGCTAACTAACCAAGGTCAACTCTCTGTAGCAAACTAGCCATAGCCAACTCTCTATGGCCAACTCTATGGCCAATGCTCTATGGCCAATTCGCCATGGCCAACTCTTTAGAAAGGTTGCCAAAGGTGGGACGGAACGAAATGGGAAGGCCAAGAATTAAAATCATTTTCAAATTGGTAAATCCTTTGAAAAAACTGTATTGTTGAATTGTTCTGCAGCGAGTTGACCATTGCTGATTGGTCAGAGAGTTGGCCACACCGAATTGGCTACAAGGAGTTGGCCGCGGTGAGTTGTCCCACGCCACTTGGGAAGGGCTGTGGGGAGCTGTCCCACCACATATTGGGAGGAACACTTGCCCCGCCCTTCCCTTCACCCCTCTGCCCGCAACTCATTTTTCCCGAACCCCCCCCCTCAAAAAAGGGAGGAGGACCCTTACCCAACCGTTGGCTCTTCCTCTCGGCTTCCTGTCAGTGTTGGGGGGGGGACCTGCAAGGACACCTATGCCCCCCCCAAGGGCTGTGGTCACTTCCCAGGTAGGCAGAGGTGGGATTCAGCTGGTAGCATAAATTTTGACCAGTTTCGGAGAACCGGCAAATGCCACCTCTGACTGGCAGCACCCACCCTTTCCCGTCCTACCTTCCATCGATTTTTAGCTCAGCTGAATCATGCGGCAAAGCGGCTCAGCTGAGCTAAAGCCAGTTCACCTGAGGGCGATCTTCAAGTGCTGCACACGCGAAGCGATGAGCGAGTGCAGTGTGCGCGCACGAAGCGACCTTAGAGGACAGTGCATGCACACACAAAGCATGTTGTGCGAGGCTTGCAGAACCAGTAGCATGCAATTTGGAATCCCGCCACCGCAGGCAGGCCTTTGGTTTGGCAGCATGGTGGCCTCCATGTGTGTGTGTGTGGATATGTGGGCCCTGGCGGGCCTGCTCCAAAAAGCCCCCCTTCCCAATGCTACTTCACAAGGTAACCACAATTCTTTGTTCCGGATTAATCTTGGCTTTCCCCCTTAAGCAAGCATTATGAATCTCAGCCCGGCTAGCACAGCTGCTTCTGCCCTTTTCTTGGGGGTGGGCTGGGCCAGGATGCTCCTCCACCCGCTAGAAATTTCACAACTTTCACATGACAACCCATTAAAAACAAGCAAACAAACTTTGGCACGTTGGCAATTTTTGGTGGGGTGTCCACAAAACAAAAAACAACGGGCCAGAGATTTGCAAACGGGAAACTCCATGTTGCAAGGAGACCTAGTCAGACTTTGCTATCCGAAGTGCATTTGCACAGCCCTCACCTTTCTCCTGGGATGTTCCCACACACCCTCCATGGCCATTGCACCGCTGCATTGCATGTTGTTGGTCTCCCGCCCCCTCGTAGATAGGCCTGGCCCGTTTCCCCAATATTGCGGAGGGTATGTCTTATCCCTTGGTCCAAAGTTGTTTCGAGAGGTTTTTTTTTGTCTTGAAGGGGTTTCGCTTCTCTTCCGAGAAGCTTCTTCCGTTCTAACTAACAGTTCAGTTCTTCAGTCAGAACTTGAAGAAGCTTCTCGGACGAGAAGGGAAACCTCTTCAAGGCAAAAAATACCCAAGCTCTGATTAGATGGTTGGGGAACAGAAGGATTGATAGCTGGTCATTTGCAATGAGAGCCATTGAGGTTACTTGGGGGTTTGTCGCCATCTTCGGGGCCATGCCTGAGTAGTGCAAATGGGGATGGAGGCTTCTTGGAATGGCACTTTACAAGATTTGCACTACTTTGCGTGACTCGGTTGACCTTTAAGACGCCGACAAACAGCGACAAACCTCCCAGCAGCCTCAACGGCTGTCTAAAAAGGATACAAATGACCAGCTGTCTGCAAGGAGGATCAATCCTTCCGTTCTCCACCATCCAATCAGAGTTTGGTGTGGGGGGGGTTCTTTCCTTGAAGAGGTTTCCCTTCTCATTGCGAGAAGCTTCTTCACTTCTGACTGAAGAACTCAACTGTTAGTCAGAAGGGAGGAAGCTTCTCAGATGAGAAGCGAAACCTTTTCAACCAAAAAAAAAAAAATCAAGAAAGGCCAGTTGCATCTTTTGGCACAACCACAACTTGGAATGACAAGAGAACCCCCATAGACGTCTTATACCCCGTTTGCTTCCGGCGTCATTGTGCATGATGGACAACCCCCCCCCCCCCCGAGGATGCACCCCCCCCCCTCTGGGGAGCAGAAATGAGAGGTGTGATGAAAACTCGACTTGCAATTTTATTAAGGGAATCGAAAGGGAGGCGAGAGCTGGATGCTTCTGGAAGGCGGACTTCTGTCGGAGAGGGGGAGATGTGCGGATGCCTGCCGGAGGCCAGTCCGCCGAGTCTGCGCAGCTCTGTATTGGGGAGAGGGAGAAGAAAGGGGAGAGCTTCAACAGTCCCCCCAGATAGCAAGCGGCCCCCAACCCCCCCCCAGAGATTATGGGTGGGCAACGCAGAAGTAGGGATAGGTGGATAGATAGATGGATAGATGGATGGATGGATGGATGGATGGATGGATAGATAGATAGATAGATAGATAGATAGAT